TCTCTCTCTTTCCCTTCTTTGTTTTGGTCTTTCTTCCCTCCTTCCTTCCTTTCTTTCTCTCTCTCTCTTTTCTGGTTTCTCTTTCTCTCTTTCTTTTCTCTCTCTCTCTCTTCTTTCTTGCTTCCCTTTCTTTCTCTCTTTCTTTCCTTTGTCTCTCTTTTCTTTCTTCTCTTTCTTTCTTTCTCTTTTTCTCTCTTTCCCTTCTTTATTTCTGTTTTATTTTTTGTTTCTTTCTCTGTTTCTTTCTCTTTCCCTTCTTTCTTCATGTTTTATTTTTTCTTTCTTTCTTTTCCTTTCTCTTACCCTCTCTTTCCTTTCTGGCTTCTCTCTCTCTCTCTCACTCTCTTTCTTTTCTTTCTTGCTTCCCTTTCTTTCTCTCTCTTCCCTTTCTCTCTCTCTTTCCTCTCTTTTTCTTTTCTTTCTTCTCTTTCTCCTTCTTCCTTTCTCTCTCTTTCTCTCTCTCTTTCTTCCCTCCTTCCTTCCTTCTCTCTCTTTCCTTCCTTTCTTCTCGCTCTCTCTTTCTTCCTTTCTCTCTCTTTCTCTCTCTCTCTTTCTTTCTTCCTTCCTTCCTTTCTTCCTTCCTTCCTTCCTTCTCTCTCTCTTTCCTTCCTTTCTTCCTTCCTTCCTTCCTTCCTTCCTTCTCTCTCTCTTTCTTTCTCTCTCTCTCTTTCTCCCTCTCTCTCCCTCCCTCCCTTCCTTCTCTCTCTATCTCTCTCTCTCTTTCGTCTTGCTCTGCCACCCAGAGTGGAGTGCAGTGGCACAGCTCAGCTCACTGTCACCTCCACCTCACAGGTTCAAGCGATTCTCATGCCTAAACCTCCTGAGTAGCCGGGACTACAGGCGTGTGCCACCATGCCCAAATAATTTTTGTAGTTTTTGATACAGGCAGGTTTTTAACATGTTGGCCAGGCTAATCTTGAACTCCTGACCTCAGGTGCTGCGATTCCAGAAATGAGCCATCACGGCAGGCCAAGACTCCTCATTTCTAACAAGCTTCCAAGTGAGGTGCTGCTGCAGGTCTGGAGATAACAAGGAGCTGTGCTGCCAATGAGTCTCTCAGTGGCCCTTCCAGGTCCCGGAGTCTTTGGCAAGATTGCTCACTTGGCACCTTGTCTTAATTTTGAGGTCCTGAGCACAAATCATATTTGGATCTCAGGGGCAATTGGGAAGTGGAGATGGGTTGGGGAGAGGCCCAGCACATGGCAGGCACTGTGATGGGGGCAGCCCTGAAAGGACAGCGACAGGATGAACAGAGTCCACGCAGGCTTGATCCAGAAGGCTCCACCTTGGCACAGAGCAGCAGGAGCCTCCTCCACGGGGCTGAGATCGTAAACTCAGCCAGGTGGGCATCTGGGTTGGAAGCACTTCCTCAGCTCTATTCCGCCCTGGGAATGCCACTGCTACTTTCTTATAATACTGTGTGTTCACCTTATCTGTGTATTGGATCTTCCTTCTCCATTGGACAGAGCACTTCTTAAGGCAGAGCCATGCGTTCTACTCATAGCACATAGAACTTGCTCAGCAAATTTGTTTGAATGGTTGAATGAATGAGTATTGCATCTCCATTTGTGCTGTTTCCTCTCCTGGAGTGCCTTCCCCATCTTGTCTGACTGATCAGACCCTAATCGCTTAGAAGACTCAGCTCAAAAGTCACCTCTTCTCTGGTTTTCCCTGTTCCTCCTTCTAGCTGGCCAGGTAGTGTGGTCCACTGCCCTTCTTGAATGCCACCGCTACACCTTGTCCATGTCAACACTACTCCACTATGCTCTGTGAGCCCCTTCAGGACAGGAACTGTGTTTAACTTAGTTTTGACTCCATAGCACTTAGCACATTGTTTGGACATAGTAGCTCTTCGTTATATTACTGGGCATAGCAAGAGACATACAAAATTAGGACTCTAAACCACAGATGAAAGGAAAAAAAGACAGCATTTTATATTGAATTAAATATTTTATATTGATAGGACTTTCATAGAGGATATTATAAGACCTATACACAGCAATCCCCAATAAACCTGGTTAATGAAGTAACTATTGCTTTACCAATTTTACCTAAGGAAGCCCTCAGAAAAAGAGTGTAAGCCCTTAGAAAGGGCTTCGGCAGAAGCCCAAATTTCTGGATGGAAAGAAAGAATGCAGAAAACCACTGGAACTTGGGGCCTATATACTGTCCTCTGTTCAGATATCCCGACACATCCCAGTGGCTAAATTTCCACCCCTTCACCCCGGCATTTGGTATCCATAGACTTGAGACTTCAATTAAATTCTAAAATTGGAAAAAATAATCTAAAATTGGAAGAAACCTTTTGTCCTAGCCAGTGTTATTTATTCCCAGATCAAGGTCCTTATTAAAATGCATGTATTTTTTTTTTAAAACAAATGTAACTTCAATGGCACTGAGTCCTGAATATAAAACTCGCCAATCAGGCCAAGTCAATCTCTTTAAAATTTTCCCAACAGTCACAATTTATAAAACATGTAAGCCAAACCCAATAAATCAAGTAAATAGCATTGCATAATGGAGGCTTAAATATAGAACAAGACAAGGCAGAAAGGTTCAATTAAGTAAATGCTGCACATATGTCTAGCTTTGGTGAGGTCAGTGTAATATATTGGGTTATTTTAGTATAAAGCCAAATAAAATAAGATAATTTAATGATTAAATAAAAAAGAGGAAGAAAAAAGAATAAAGCGAATACTTTAGGAAAATGTAATGGACCAAAAAGTCTTAGAACAAGCTAGAGTGTGGAATTACAATACACTTTTAATAGTAACCATAGAATTAGGAAATAGGAAAGTTGTGAAACTCTGTTAGCAACATAAAAATAGAGTGAAATTTTCTGAACAATTAGTGCGTACTACTGTAACTGTGATTGTTAAATGCTAAATTGTTTTCAGATAATTAATATGTAGCAAAAGAAAATGTATGTATATGATGTAAAGTTATCATGGTGATATTAGGCTATTGGAGGAGTATATGACTCTGAAACAATTGTATGGAAAGTGCAAAATTCATCTAATCATCCAGATGTTTTGTCTACACAGTTGCAAAATTATAATATTTCAAGCTATGTGAATGATTTAATGAACTTACATTTTTCCTATGAATGTTTCATCCTGGCCAATAACATTTTCTACCTCTTTGCAGCAGAAAGGGGATCCTATCAATTAGGAAAAACTTAATTCATGAAAAATATACCTGTTATATGTATGTACAATACAATATCCATGAGCACATGTCTATAATAATTATGCTGTCAAACGAATCATTGTTAACTTTTTTCTTCTAATATTTTTTGCTGTACATTCATTTATTTTGTTGTTCACTGATGCTTACAGGCAAAAGAAAAAAAAGAGAGACTGTTACTACTGTAAGTCTTCAAATGCTTAGAAAAGATATATAGGAGAAAAATTTTAAATGGAGAAATCTATCCATGAATGTATTGTTTTATGCACTGGAAAACAGGAGCCATTATTTAATTTTACCAGAGAAATACTTTTGTCCAACTTGAACGTCATCGTCATCTCTGAACATAAACTTGAAGATTGTTTCTTCAGTCAAACCAGACTTTTTACCAGTTTCCAAACACACCTCTGTGCTTTCCTTGGCTCATATTAATTCATGTATTCATTCAATACCTAGTTATTAAGCACCTGGTAGGTGTCAGACATTCTGCCAGATGCTGGTAATACAAAGGTGAAGACAGGCACACAGTTGGTGCCCCCATGGAGCCTGTGATCCACTGGGACACACAGACATCAATCAAGTGATCATACAAATGAATGGGATAAGAGCCTGTGTGAGAGGATTTGGTCTCATCAGAGATGCCAGAGAAGACTTCCCTGAGAAGGTAGTACTTGGGCTCGGGTCTGAAGGATAATTGGAGTTACATAGGTGAAAAGGTGGTGCACAGATGTCCTAGCCAGAGAGAATAACATGCAGAAATCAAGGGACAGGAGAGAAGGTACCAGGAACTACGATGGGCCCATGTGGCTAGACCAGAGAAAGGACAGAATGTGTTCAGATGAAGCTCCAGAGAGAAATTAGGGGACAGAGCATGCCTCTTGCAGGGCCTTGCAAATGAACGGAATTTCATCCTATCCCAACATATGTATCCTTACATGCCCTTCAAAATCCTGTGTGGCCATTCTCACATACCACCTCCTCCAAAATGAGTTTCCCAATCCCCTTAGCTAAATGCGTCATTCCCCTTCTCTATGTTTCAGATAATGTGGTCATACCTGTGTAGTCTCATTATCCCTTCCTGCCTTGTATAATGGTTATGTGCGCTGCTTAGCGTCAGGGTTGTGAGTTTATTCACCTTTGTATTTCACACATATGTAATAAGTGCTCAATCCATGTTTTGAATACCTTGAATTTAATCAACACCCTGGTTCAGCAATTTATGCCACTGCTTTTTCATGATCAAAACCAATAACTAAAGCCTTTCATAGTTCTCTGGAGTGCATAAAGGATTTTGACAATCGAAGATAAACTATGAGAGGTATGGCAAAATATTGTTACATCTAGGCAAACTGGATGAGATATCACATACCTGAGTACATGGCTGACTGATATGGGAGCATAAAACCATTGGTAGCTCAGTATTCGACTTCATAGCTACACGAGAACTAATGGCCTTTACCATGTTGTGAAAGTTCTCAGGAACGCTCTGTGATCCTCAGATGTGCGTGACCTCCAAGAGCAGGTGCGCACTTTATGCCTGACCAACTTTCACACATGTAATGAATATTGGCTGTATAATACTAAAAATCTGGAAAAAAATTTTTTAAAATTTTAGTTAAACAGGGTCTACCAAATAATTCTGGTTTTATCTAGAATTTTGGTAATGATTATAAATAATCAATGTCTGGGCATTAGGCTAAAACAGAAAATATGAGACATGGAAATAAAATGAGTACCTCTGAAGACTAGTACCTAGTTTTATTATTTGTTTTTTGTTTTTATATCTAGTTTGTTTTGTTTTGTTTTGTTTTTAGTTGCAGTCCATAAGTTTATTGTCTTTATCTGCAAAATCCTGATAGAAAATTGTTTGGTTTAGCTCTCAGCAGCCCGCTCCTGAGCTCTGAGGAAGCTTGCCTTCTTTTGAGCTACCCGATCTTTCTTCTGAGCAAGGGACATTTTGGGGCGGTTCCACCTGTTCTTCTTAACTTCTTACTTGGGCTTCTTTTCATAGACTGGATTCTCTCGTATAGCAGCATGAGCTGTCTTATACATCTCCTCCATCATGTCTGGAGTTACGCTGTTCTTTATGTATTAAGAGAACTGTTTCTTGTAAGCATCTTCATCTTCTTCCATTAAGTAGCGCATGTAATCTGCAACATTCTGGCCCATGATGTGCTTCCGGTGTACTCCTGCATTAAATTCCTTGCTTTCAGAATCACAACCAGGGAATCGCTTGGTACTATGAGGGATAGACAAGCCTCCATCCACAGCTCCCTTCAGGGCACCAAAAACTTTATTGCCAGTGGTAGTTCTGGCAAGGCCTGCATCCAAATAGCAGGTAAAGGCACCTGGCTGATCATCAATGCTTTCCACATTGTATTCATCACCAGTCACCTCCACTTGGCCCTCATAGATCTTGTCCATGCCAAACCTATTGAGAAGCCTGCGGGCCAGCTGCAGGCCAGTACAATACGCTGCAGCGTAATTTGTCAGGCCAACCTTCACACCTTATTTTGGCAGTTCATGTGCATATGCTGCGCAGACTATCATGTCCCCCTCTATACGGGCATAAGCAATCTGACAAATGATATCTCTGTTTGTTACACGAACTAGCATCCTGTATTTGGGTGTGTTGATTTATTTTTATCCTGTATCACCAAGCGTTTCTGAGCATAGTAATCACTTTTACCCTCTCGTCATCTTCTAAATTTCACTTGGTATCTCTTAAAGTAGGCCTTATTCTTAACAACTTTAACAAACCCCACCCTGCGGAACAGAGACCCGCGTCCGCAGCTCGACAGAGACCTGCAGGCCCAGCAGCGCTAGCGGGGGAAGAAGGCTATATCTAGTTTTTGAGAAAAAAATTACTTTTTTCCTTAAAAATATGGCTTTATTAAACACAGTTTAATATTAAACACAGTTTAATGAAACTGATATGAAGTCAATTCATGTTTATACATCATGGAAGGGGAAAATATCATGGATAAAACTAATAATAAAATGTTTCCTCTGTCACATGTGGTGGCACACACATGTAGTCCTAGCTACTCAGGAGGCTGAGGCGGAAGGATCACTTAAGCCTAAGAGTTAGAGGCCAGCCTGGGCAACATAGCAAGACCCTGTCTCTAAAAAAAAGTTTTCTAAATTATAAACAGCAAAATTATTAAACACAAAGTGAACAAAGACCAATGTAACAAGGTAAAATGAAAATAAACAGAAGACTATATATATGTATATATGTAGAGATAGATGATAGATAGATAGGTAGATAGATAGATAAAGTAAAAAAGGAGTAATTACTGTTTGTGTGTTAGGCTTGCTAGGTATTTTACACGTGTGAGTTTATTTAATCTTCGCAGCACTCCTGTGAGGACAGGACTATTATTATCCCCATTTTACAGAAGAGAAAACTGGAGCACAGAAAGATTAAATAGCTTGCACAAGGCCATGCAGCTAAAAAGCAGTAGAGCTAGGACCTCAGTTGGGGCAGCATGACTCTCCAGAATGTGCATTCTTAATGAGAGCAGAAACTGGTTTTCGGGGGTAAAAACAATCTTAGACATTACCATGGTGTGTGGCCCTCCCACAGGACATACATAAACAGACACACAGTACACAATTAGTATGAAAATCTTATGGGGAAGGAGAGATTGGTTAAGAAAAATATGTCTAAAATGTCTCCTTAGAAGTGTAGTGAAAATGAAGGCTGAGGGCAGTGGTTACACCTGTAATCCCAGATTCATTATATAAATGAGACTCAGCGTATGTGTTGTCATGGAAATCATGGGAGTGGATGAAATTGACCTTTGAGAGGCTGAGATGGGTGGGTGGGAGGATGGTTTGGGCCCAGGAGTTGAAGACCAAGCTGAGCAACATGGTAACACCCTCATCTTTCCAAAATTTTTAAAAAATTAACTGGGCATGGTGGCACCCGCATGTAGTTCTAGCTACTTGGAATCTGAGGCAGGAGAATCACTTGTGGCAGTGAGCTATGACTGCATCACTGAGCTGCAGCCTAGTCAAGAGGGCAAGGCCCTGTTTCTAAACAGAGAAGAAAGAAAGAAAATGAGGTTGAGAAACACTGCTCTAAAGTTTGTGCTCACAACTCTTAAATTTAATAATGCCTTTCAAGCTTCATGTTATGCTTTTTTCTTTCCTCAGAGAGTAAATTGAAGGGGTAACTTTCACATTTTATTAATAATGTGGATTCATGAGTTCCATAACGATGTAGATTCACAGTCTGCTGAAATGTTTCAGTTCTGAAATAGCGAATTTAGCTGTCTTCAAGTAATCAATTATGTTATCATATCAATTAGGTTATCTCCAGTTATTAATTATTGAAGTTTTATTAAAACTTCATTTGTAGTATACATTTTTTATGGTATTCTGCTACAAAACTGTATGTTCCTATGACTGAAGAGAAACTTACAGAGTGGGAACTGTTTATCCTACCTGGCACTTTCCCTATTATTTTGGACTCCTCCTTAACCTCTGAGTTCTCTCTTCTAATCTTCCCTGGTTATTCATTTATTCATTAGACCCAATAACATTTATTGAGGATCCTGTGCAATTTCATCCACTCCCATGATTTCGATGACAACACATATGCTAATGAGTCTCATTTATATAATGAATCTGAAATCTTTCATCCCAGCAAAGATTTCTTCCTTGAGGCTCCAAAGACCCAGACTGCCTAGTGGACATTTCATTGTAAAGTCCCCCACATCACTTAAAACTTAATACATCCCACAGGGAATAACCTTTTTCTGCATGTGTGCTTCTCCTCCTGGTTGCTTCTTTAAGAAGTGGCAACTTCATCCATCTCATCACCCAAGCCAGAAACCTAGAAGCTGTGTGTCACCAGTCACATTCAGCCAGTGACCAAGTCTGGACAATTGCACTTCCTTAACATTTCTCAGATCTTTACTCTCCTTTCTAGTTAAATACTGTTACTAAATTCACACTCTTATCACTTTTATCTAGAAAACTGTTCCCTGCTTTGAAACTCTTCAATAGCTGCCCATTGCATAAAGAATGTGGACCCTCTATGATCTGATCTCATTGGGCATACCATTCCATCACCACTCACACCCTACATTTTTGAGGCTTGTAACTCACAAGGTTACTTTGAAATGTCTGAATCAGAGGCCCTAAATTGGAATATGGAATCCACCGAAGCTACCTTTGACATATAGAATGGAAAACATGTTCTGTATTTGTTGGCTAAATGTGGATTCCTACCTAAAGTACACTTGTCTTTTTTTAAAAAGTGTACTTCTCTTAAAAGCAAGGACAGCAAACCAAACATACTGCTATCACCCCTACGGTGCCTTGCGTACTATAGATGCTCAATAAATATATTTTGACAAAAATCACTATTGACTATTATTCTACAGACTTGCATGTTCTTTCTCTTGGAAATGGAATTATGTTATGAGACCACAGTATTTCTTATTCATGTAATTTGATGGGCAGAAAGACAAAATAAACTATAAATTCAATTTACTGACTGACTTATTGAGGAAATTGAGATATTACTAAGTAAAATATAAATATCCAGCCCAGCTTTTTTGAAAGACAGATATGTAAAAATACAGTTATTGCTAAAACTAGTTTGTGACATGCTTTCTCAGTTTACTTAATGAAATTATAGCCTGTAATCAATTTATAAACAATAGAATTCCCAAGTAACACATAAATCTTGAAAGAAATAGATGAAAATCAGCTGTTTTTTGTTAAAATGTTGGGGCTTTTACCAAAATACAGATCTCTAACTTCAGAAGAAAAAACAAATTTATTGATTATAGTTATTTGCTAAATCTAAATTCATTACAGGAAATATACAAATATGTGTAAATATGAAATTATCATTAAAAAGAATTTGTATTATAATTTTATTTTCTGAGAATTCAGCATTTACTTTGTTTTTGTGAGTGAACCCCAGGATTTTATTTTATCTATTGATTGATTCATTGATTGAGACAGGGTGTCACTCTATTGCCCATGCTGGAGTGCAGTGGTACGATTCTAGCTCACCGAAGCCTCCATCTCCTGGGTTCAAGCAATCCTCCTGCCTTGGCCTTTCAAGTAGCTGGGACTACAGGCACACACCATTAGGCCTGGCTAATTTGTTTTTATTTTTATAGAGCCAGAGTCTTGCTTTGTTGCCCAGGCTGATCTCAAACTCCTGGCCTCAAGCAATCCTCTCACCTTGGCCTCCCAAAATTCTGGGATTAGAGGCGTGAAGCACCATGCCCAGCCAAAACCCAGGATTTTCTGAGTTCAATTTTGCTTGGCCTACTGCCAGTCTTAAATGAAGACCCTCTCATCTAAAATCTTTGTAGAGCAGCTACGTCATAGAAATATTTCATTTGCAATAGGCCGGGCGCGGTGGCTCAAGCCTGTAATCCCAGCACTTTGGGAGGCCGAGGCGGGTGGATCACGAGGTCAAGAGATCAAGACCATCCTGGTCAACATGGTGAAACCCCGTCTCTACTAAAAATACAAAAATACAAAAAATTAGCTGGGCATGGTGGCGCATGCCTGTAATCCCAGCTACTCAGGAGGCTGAGGCAGGAGAATTGCCTGAACCCGGGAGACGGAGGTTGCGGTGAGCCGAGATCGCGCCATTGCACTCCAGCCTGGGCAACAAGAGCGAAACTCCGTCTCAAAAAAAAAAAAAAAAAAAAAAAAAAAAGAAATATTTCATTTGCAAATCTAATTCACAGATCCACAGAACTGTTTCATTTGTAAATCAAAACTGTCTACTTTGGCCTCACTGTCAGGGAAATTGTTAACAGATTCAAAACTAGTAATGAAAATTGGACTTGCAGTATCTTTTCAGTGATCAGTATTAGCAAGTACTATAAATTCCTACCTGGGACTCATCCATATTCTCATCTGTACCTCTGGTTATCAACCACTGGTTTATTTTTATGTCCTCCCTAATTTTGTGTGCTTCAGAGCACACTCTCATTTTACCATTTACTATTTCATTTGAATAAACGTTGATTCCTAGTCTGGTGCTAAATACAGAGTGCTCAAAAACATGTCTTTCAAATGTATGAATCAATTTGAAAACACTTCTATATCTTTTAAATCAGAACTATATGAAAAAAATGTTAGTAAATTGTCAAATTAGGTTGGTCACTGCCATATCTTTCAACACTATGTAAACAGTAATTGGAACTAATAGACTATTTGAAACATATTTTAATTAAAATTCACATATAAACCCATGTATAAAGTATATGTTAAGCTATGTATTTTACACAAGTTTGTTGGTATTGAAATTAAGCATATCCAAGCTCTGAAATACACATAGCCCAAAGAACAAATACTTCATTCATCATGGAAGACTAATTTGTTTTATGAGAGTGTGGAATAAGCATTCACCACATGAAAACATTTTAGTACAACCACCTTTCACAAATAATGTATTTCTGGTTTCTTGCTCTACAGTGGAAGGGCTACAAAAAGCAAAAGCAAACACCTTTGTGATAATCAATAAGGAGCATTAGTGCTACATCTATTATACTACCAATTGAATTGGGCCTATTTTTGTTTTATGTTTCAATGTACAGCATTATCCTTTGGCAATGTCAAGAGAATGAAAAATGTGCTGGTTATAA